AGCATGATGTAACAATATTAAACGTTTTTATGTTACCATGATGTAACAATATTAAACGTTTTTATGTTAGCATGATGTAACAATATTAAACGTTTTTATGTTACCATGATGTAACAATATTAAACGTTTTTATGTTACCATGCTGTAACAATATTAAACGTTTTTATGTTAGCATGATGTAACAATATTAAACGTTTTTCGTTAGCATGATGTAACAATATTAAACGTTTTTTCGTTAGCATGATGGAACAATATTAAACGTTTTATGTTACCATGATGTAACAATATTAAACGTTTTTATGTTACCATGATGGAACAATATTAAACGTTTTATGTTACCATGATGTAACAATATTAAACGTTTTTATGTTACCATGATGTAACAATATTTTTTTTTCCAACTCTTTCACACTTCTGTAACATCATTATCCAAGAACGTGCTAACATTTTGTGGTTAGTGAACTGACCGCATGATATATCTATACTTGGTTAAGAGTTATCTATTCCTTCAAGTGACTATCGTCTGTTTGTTTTCTACCTCGTTCTCAGTTCAAAATCAGAAATAGCAATACCTGAAGATAGGGGTCGCTAACCTGACTGCTTGGCTGTTTATCCACATAAGGTTTCGTTCAGGTGAACAAACAGACAGGCGAGAGTAGCGCGTCACGTAGTTGAGGGGATGTCAGCTAACTGGTTGTTTTTAGCACCTGGCGGTACATCACTAAGATGGTTTTTCCCAGAAGCTATCAGATAAACTTAGAAGATTATAATTTGGAAAGCAGTTTTCGTTGATTGTTGCTAGGCATCGTATTACCACGATCAGCTGGATGAGAGGTAAAGAAGGATTTACGTATGCAGCTTAGACATCAAAATCTATCATATCAGTATTTTACTGACTTTACGTTTGACCCAGTAGTTAGCGTGTCCGGGCTGTGAATTCGAGAGTTTAATGTTCGAGTCCCGTTGTCTTAAAAATGCGTTACGCACAAGGGGTCGTGGTTGCGTTATAATCGTGGTAGTCATTTCACACTTTTCGACCAGACAAGAGTCCCCCAACAGTTGGCGGGTGCTGTTAACTAGCTGCTTTCCCTCAGTTTATTAGTTCAAAATTAGGGCTAAAACCAAACAGACAGTTCTATAACGAGCTGCTCCCCCCCCCCACTCCCAGTGGCACAGCGGTATGTCTGTGGACTTATACCGCTAGAAACCTGGTTTCGATACCCGTGGCGGGCAGAACGTAGATAGCCTTTTGTGTAGCTTTGTGCTTAATAACAAACAAGTACTATAACGAGCTAAGATTACACAACCTTTTGCTGAAAGACAACAGAGCGAAAACTTTGTGCTATGTAGTTACTGTTCTGAAAATTTGCCGGCTTACTTCACCAGGGCCCGACATGGCGTTTGAATCGCTAACTGCTGTTCGCGGGTTCGAATCCCATCTCTAACATGCTCACCCTTTCAGCTGTGGGGGGCGTTATAATTATTCGTAACCCAAGAGTAGGCGTTGGGTGGTGTTGACTAGCTGCCTTCTCTCTAGTCTATCACTTCAAAATTAGGGACGGCTAACACAGATAGTTCTCGAGTGGCTTTGGGCAATTCAATAAACAAAGAAACGGTATTACATCACAAGCAGACATCGTACTACACTTAGATATACGGAACGGTTAGAGCATTAGAAACTGAAACGTAATACCGTATTTCAAGTGCTCTTCCTACAAGGTGTAGGAAACATTTACTGCAATATGAAATCATTCATATATCAATAAATGAAAAAGCAGTTCAATAACCAAATAAGTTACAAAGTTTTGTCACTACATCTTTCAGTGTATGGCTATGAATCAAGCCTTACTCAGTATTAAGAAATTGCACTAAAAAACATCAAAGGAGAGGCCTGAGATGGCCTGGTGGTTAGAGCGCTCGACTCGCAATCTGAGGTCGCGGGTTCGAAACACCGTCATCTATCATGCTCTATCCTATACGGTTGCCCACTGGGCCATCCACCCGGGTGTAAAACAATTCTTGACTTACAAAAACATCGGCCGACCCCACACAATCTGAGATTAAGATCGTAATGCAGGAAAAAATAAATAAATGTAAAACAATCAGTTACCATAACAACACTTAACCTGTTTGTGGTTTGGTTTCAGTTTCGTTTTAAAATCTAAAAGTGATCGCTTAACAATATTGTCTTTCTTATTTGTACCCCCCCCCCCCGGTGGGTCTCCGGTAAGTTTACAAGCTTACAACGCTAAAGTCCGGGATTAGATTCCCGCGGTGGACACAGCAGATAGTCCAATGCGGCTTTGTTCTAAAAGAACATACCTAAAAACTTTGTTATTTAAACGAGGATTATTTTCACGCTATCAGATACGAACATCTAGATGTTGTGATGTTTTAAGATTGTTAAATAATGTTAAGAATCTAATAATGTTGGTTTTTCTATCTTTTTTAAATATTCGGTTTATTATTACCTTTTTTTTCCTCGGTACTAAGACTTCTGTCGATCGTGAGTGATACAAACCACCCGAGTTTATTAAATCAGCATTCATGTGAGCATGATCTTCATGTAAGTCATTTTGGTGAAGTTTACCTTTTGGCATGGATAAAAGACAATTTGGAGAAGTTTCGCTCGAAGCCTTGATAATTTCATAGATGATATCCTTATCACCTTGACAAAAGTCAATTATTGAAGCTTGCGTTATGGCACTGGGAAAAGATTGTTTGGTGGTAGTCGCATGGTAACATTTTCTTTTGTGTCTGAACAATACTCTAGATTCAATACAGTGTTTGAACAATACTCTGATACAATACATTGTCTGAACAATACTCTACATACAATATAGTGTTTGAACAATACTCTAGATACAATATATTGTCTGAACAATCTTCTGGAGACAATACATTGTCTAAACAATCTTCTGGATACAATATATTGTCTGAACAATACATTTTCTGAACAATCTTCTGGAGACAATACATTGTCTAAACAATCTTTTGGATACAATATATTGTCTGAACAATACATTTTCTGAACAATCTTCTGGATACAATATATTGTTCTGAACAATACATTGTCTGAACAATACATTTTCTGAACAATCTTCTGGATACAATATATTGTCTGAACAATACATTGTCTGAACAATATTCTGGATACAGTATATTGTTTGAACAATCTTCTGGTTACAGTATATTGTTTGAACAAACTTCTGGATACAATATATCTAATCAAAAACATCTTAGGTGTGAAAAAAAGTGCAACTTAAATTTATGGGAATTAAATCAAAATTTGCGACCAAACTGGTAGCTACACTTTAAAAACTGATAAGTTTTTACGGCAGATATTCATTCATTAGTTAACTAGGTTTAACTTGGAGCATAATGGTGGGTAAAACAAAATGCGCTGCCTAGCTAAGTAATGGATGAATATTTGATGTAAAAATTATTATCAATGTTATAGGTGCAACTACCAATTTTTGCCGCCAGTTTTGATTTCATTCCTTTAAGTTGTACACTCAATCCTTTTTTAGCCGCACCTTTTTTCACACCTAAGGTGTTTTTGATTAGATATCATGACTTTTTTGTCAATACACGACAACTAACCACAACAAGTAAGAAAGTGACACTCGATAGTAACCAACATTAGCTTTAGGATTGCAACCCTATTATTCGGAACA